GTGTAGTAACATTGTATATAGGCTATATATATATATATATATATATATATAACATATACATTACATATACATAACAATGTATTATTTTATTAAGATAATTATAGAATAGTTGTAGTAGTTTGGCTCTGATATAAAGGTACAATGAAATAATTATATAATTATGTGTGACCACCTATGAAAACAGTTCTTTGAGAATACATTTGTCATATCTTGGATGATAATGCATTATCTAATGTAACAGGTCAGGGGTAAACATGGATTAGCATGCTCATCCCAGCAGCCTGTAATACTTTCTATGTCCCCTTGACCTATATTACAATCCAAGGGTCATTACGAGAAAACCTGAATCAATTTCATTATGTTTGGGATATATTTCATTGTTTATGTAAATATGTATTTACTTTGTTGAATGTGTGGTTGTTCATAAGAACAGCTGACCAGAAATTTGGAGAAGACTATGGAAAGATAAAATAAGAGTGCTTGTTTAAATGAGATTAAGAGATTACAATGTTTATGCAGATTACTTTATAAACAGGATTGAGAGAGAGGTACAGAATCTCTGTCCATTTTCACAGGAGGAGGAGACCTCATCATAAGCGGCAGTAAGTCTGGTCATCAGCAGTATATTGTATAATTAAATATCTCAAACATAAATAGCCTACCACATGTGATGTGATCATTTGGTTTGATTTCTCAGACAATGCCGGTCATAAATGTAGAAGATCTCACAGATCTGGATAAGGCTAAAATGGAAGTAACCCAGCTCAAAATTGAGGTGAAGCTTGAAAGGGCGAAGGTAAGCGTTGAAATCCACCAATGACCAGATTACACAAAATGGACTACATCCAAGTTGGATGGGCATTGTTGGTATGCTCATTTTTGTTTGATTGCCACTTTAATGACTTTTTTTCATCAGGTGTCCAAATGCTGTGAAGAGATTTCAGAGTACATTCAGAGCGGAGCAGATGAGGATCCTTTGGTCAAAGGCATTCCAGAGGACAAGAACCCCTTCAAGGAGAAAGGTGGCTGTGTCATTTGCTAATGTGGACAGAGAAACTCCCAACCTTTGCAGTTTAGTGTTCATTGTTGCCCATGGACACCTGCTCAAATTTAATCATAGCTGGAATCCACTCTGCTACCCGAAAAAGGACAATCACAAACATGGATAGATTTTCAATTAACTCTAAATGGCTTTTTCTCCCTTAAATGAGTCCCCAGGATCTGAACCCTCATATGTTGTGTATTCCTCTCTGAAGAGCTGTAATAAATCAGACTACCATTATGCACTGATCACCGGAGACTTGATGGACTAATACATGTATTTATTTTGTGGGCAGCCAGCTAAAGGGTAACATCTGTGTGACAAAACAGGGTGAAAGTGAAATGTTTTAGCTTGTAATTCACATGATAAATCAAGGCTTAATCTTGGTGGACTATTTTAGCTATTCAATAAAATCACATTACTTGGCAAAGGGCCACTACAGTTTCTGAGTGAAATTTTCCACAAGAGTCATAATGGGTTTTGTTTAAAATTTACAGGAATTTAAAGAAAATTTCACTTAATGTGTTAAAGGAGTTTGTCATAATAATTCAGACAAAAGGCCACACTTTCCTGTTAATTACAAAATGATAGGTACCAGCAGCGGTTAACTGCCAAAATACAGTAACTACATTTAATACGTTTTTAATTAATAAAAATGGATTTTGTTTCATTTGACCATTACTTGTTTACCACAGTTTTAATGTAGAACTATAAATAGGGTGAATTCGGGTAATCTGGGACACCTAAGCTGCAGTGTGTTTATTTCCTGTTCTAACAAAATTTAGACAACAGGACTTTTACTATAATTTTAGTATGGATGTCATGTGACTGAAATCACATGACGTCATGGGGGTGATTCCACAGAAAGGGGTGGGGCACTTGTCAATCAAGAAGCTCCCCTGGGAATTGCATGACAAGGTCAGTGACATAGGATTCTGACTAGATTAATGTTAAGGACATACATCTGTTATAAATAAGACAATGTTCCTAATTGTTGTCAAATTATGTTTGCGATCTATTCAAGCAACAAACTATGTATTTAAGTGTTGAATGTGTTTTAGTTTTTTTTTTCCTTTTAAACATTTTTTGTTGTCTCACATTATCAAATATGATTGAGAATGTGGGACAGCGTGCTTTGGGTAATCTGGGACAGTCTTCATTTGGGGGAAATATGCATTTAGGGACTTTATAAATCTATTGACAAGGACCCAGATTATATATGCCATAATGAGAAATGGGTGTTAATATGGATTACTAGAGGTTAATACATTAGCATAAATTCACATTAGCTAAACCAGCTAGCTAGAGAGAAGCTACAGAGATGGAATCTGGGAAACGTATGCAAATATATATATATAGAGAGAGAGAGAGAGAGAGAGAGGATATATATCACCTGCAAGGAGTGTTTGTTCCGTAGCCCCAATTTTAATAGAATGGAGAATTTGAATAACCGAGTAAATAATCCGTTAATCAAATTGTTGCTTGCTGTTACTTCAATTTTAGTTGATTTTTTACAATGTTAATACAATGTTAAACAAATATTAAACAATTTTAATAGAGTTTTAAATGAATTAACACAGTAGAGACAGAAATTATTTTTCCTGATATTGGAATATACATTTTCTTATTGAGATTTCTGTACTTGTCATTTTTTTTCATAATGCTTTTTAAAAATTGGTGATATTGTGTTTGGCATGCATAAAGTATGGTGAATATAGACTTTTTTTTAGGCCTAATACATGTGACCCAGATTACAAACTGACCTGTCCCAGATTATCAAATTATGAATATATATATATAAAAAGAAATATATTTATTTTTTGGCACAAAAACACTAATAGGTGTGGCATGTCTCCTCTAGGTATACGATCTACATTCTTTCTTTTGGTGTGGTTAGAAAACATTTTAGGGATTTCAGAAAAGTCTAATGTGTTGATAATGTGTTAGATAGATATCGAAATAAATCGCAGAATTCAAAATTGCAAAAAATGTCAAAGATTACCCGAATTCACCCTGTTAACTACAGTTATCTTGATTAAAGCGCTGATAGCATACTGTATATTCGAATTCTACTTGAGTGGTCTGATGCGCATGCGCAGATCAACACTTTTCAAAATGGCACTGCGCGTCGTGAGATCTGGTTTGCCTTTGAATCTCAATTTACTTAAAACAACAGTTGTCTGCAACAAACGGCACTTGTCAGAAAAAGCGTCCTCCAATCCGAAAGCATCCGTTTCTACCGAAAATATCGATCATGTTCTCTACACAGAGGAACATTTTGCATTAAAAGCATCTTTGAGAAAGGTAGATATGACCGCGTGCTATTGTATTGTATCTTTAATAAATGTACAATTCTCTGTCGAGATTAATGTCTATTAAGTTTCTTGCTACCTGATTATTACACTCAAATGAATGTGCGGGTCGACTGTTTTTCAGCAAGTGAATGTAGGTAAGAGGTCACATACTATAGCTTTCATTGCACTGCTAAGTTAGTTGCAACTGGTTGGTTGTATGAATTGCTTGGGATTTTATTGTCAGTGTCTGACATAATTAAACGATTTTATGACGTATTTTCTGATATAAAGATACATTTTCGCGATTAACAGTTGAATTGTGAAGATTAACCGCTTTGTTTTGACGCTTCCAGGAAGCGCAGATTGTCACGTGACGCTCAAGTTGAGTATGGCCTGTCAACTCCAGACTTGTTATTTTTTTTAAATCCTTCTATACCAAATAGATAGTTTTTTTTTATTAGTTACATTTCATTAACATTAAAATCATAATTTGTATTTTTTATGACAAAGCTATCTTCTGTTCTGCTGTCATTTCCATCACACCAAACATTTTAGAAAACAAATATTTATTTTCCCCAAAACGTTTATGCTTGCTTATTATAGGTATTCGAAGTCGTCAAGTGATCTCTCTCTATCTCTATTTTTTTTAAATGTCACATTTAATTTACTAATAGCTATTCTTTTGAGTTAGCAAGGTCAAGACTTTTCTCCAAAGAGTGAAAAAATGCCCTTTCCATTATACCTCATTACCTTCTTTAAGGCATGTGATAAATGTTAACATGAATTATATTTGAATTAATAAGATTTAAATGATTGGAAGTCATTATAATTATACTTTTATATCAACTGTGTAGACTAGGAAGGGTTACAGGGCTTGGGAAGGAAGTTGCTTTCTCCAATTCCCAGTGGCTTCAAGTGTGTCGGAATAGGCTAGTATGAGAAAGGATATAAGTGGAAAACAGAAAAAGCAACGGATAATGAAAACAATGCCATAGAGTGAAGCTCAGGGATGGAGTTTATTAAAAGAACTCACCAGAGACAGTGACACATTGAAAACAAGGTAGAAAAGTCCTTGACTTAGAAGCATGTAATGTTATTATGCATCTAAATGAAAGGAAAGACTGGCGTGAAATTTAACAGTGCATAATATTTGCAAGTTTCGTTTTATTTTTCAGCTTTTACTCATGCTAAAAGTATTTTACAATAAAATGCATTTCTTCTCAAGGTCATCTCATGACTCAAGAAGAAATTCTTCACACAGTATTAATCTTACGAAATGCTTAAGTCACGTCAGTTATGTTCAGATTGAAATAAAGGGAGTATGATTTAAAAAAATCAAAATATTTCACACACAAATGAGGTTACCACTTCCAGGAAACATCACCTACTGTTATTCAGTTTAGTTCAATGGTAATGTTTTCTGGGTGCATAAAGTGTTGACAAACCATAAAGTCAGAGTTCTGGACTCCAGCAAACAATTCTCTGCTCGGACCGACAAGAGAATTGTGGAATGTATCACCAACCTTTATTATGAATTAGGAACCTTGCACTGTAGGTTCGAACAGGGCGGACCACCCTTCCTTTCTGACCGTAATATCCAGTCACGGTCTTCTGGGTTTTGAGTAAACCAATACTAAATATGATGCTTCTGTTATATGTTCTCTGCCAGTTTTTCCCGCCAATTCCTTCTGCTGAAGAAATTTAAACTAGTTCACGCTGAGTTTGTTAACGTGCTGTTGACCCCTGGCTTCCTTTCGATTTGAAATGCTGTTTGTCCTGTGAACACTGCTTTTGAGTCAGGACGTTTTTGTTGGCCAGTGAAGCAGCACGTCTGCATGTTTTTGGGGAAATGTGGTGCTCATCCCTCTGCAGTATTTTTCTAACTTTCACAGCTCATACTGAAACAGGTTTTTGTCTCAGTCTGTACCCATTAAACATAGTAAGCCTGACATATTAGCTCAAGATGACTCATTTCCATAGCTGAAAATTATAGCCTTAATTGAATTAAAATGATTGGTTCATAAACTTACTTTTATTGCTCACATAATGCATTATTGGGAAAAGAATTCAATTCCTTATTTGCTTAATTTAAGTAGATTTTAATGAATTGCTTTGACTCCCCCATTGCAACATTATAGTGTTCTCGTGATCAGACACTAAAACAGTACAATGAGTTTTACAAGGTTGGTTGACTTTTAATTGCATTTGTACCGTAGACTTCTACTCCATCTGTTTAAAACGTAATAGTTTAGCCCAAAATACTCACCCTTATGTTGTTTGGAATCTGGCTGATGTGTCAGTTTCTATGGGACACAAAATAAGTTATTAAGCAGAATGTCCAGACTGCTGGTTTACAGCAAGCAGAAGGCAAGAATTTTGATTAATAATAACTTAAATTACAGTCTGCTCCTCTCCAAAGTATATTGAATGGCTTTGGAAGAATCATAAATATTCATATTTTCAGTTTTTTTTTAATGGTAAATTTTATACCCTTTTGGAACTTTTTTTTTTTTTTTTTTTTTTGTAAATGCCACTCCTCTGTCAGGAATATATTTTTTGTCTGTGCTTGTATGGTTCAAATGTACATGGAGTATTGTTGCAGACACTCACTATATTTCACAGTGGTTATTACAACAGGCAGGCGTCTTGAAGTGACTCAAAAGGAAGTTGAGTGTCTGGTCCTGCTTTCAAGGAAGCAACCTATTGTAGGGCTATTACACTCTATATAGCTTGAAGGAACTTGAAGGTGTCTTATTATTTTTGGCCTTTTGTTACTGTTATATAAAGAGAGGATGGGAAGTGATGAGTACCCTTTGTGAACTTATTGCTAGGTCTGTTAGAAATTAAATACTGAATTGAAATAATTGAATACTGAATAGTTTCTGTCGTGTTGTTTTTAGATTATGTTGTATGTGTCAGTGCAGATGTTTCCTCCAGTAAATTAATTTCTCGTAAAATCGTGCTTCAATGGAATAAGTGTTTAATTAACACTTATTCCAAACAAGCAAACAAGATGTTAATGTAACACCCAATTTCCCTGAAATCTATAAATCTATAAATAAAATTTTCAGATTTGGTTACAGTGCTCAGATAAAGCATTCTGATCTATGTTTGAATGTGTTACAGATCATTGATCAAGAGATCAACCCTTATGTAGATAAATGGGAGGAAGAAGGGCAATTTCCTGCTCATAAGATCTTCAAAATCCTGGGTAATGCGGGATTTCTAGGAGTCAACAAACCTGTGGGTAAGTAAATGTTCGCTACTTCAGATTTACCTAGCATACAAGTGACCCATTCTTCTTGTATTTTATATATGGATTAGTCGTTGTGAGTCGTTGAAAAAGACATTTGTGAAAAATATTGCTCTTTCACAGAAAAATATGCGTTTAAAGCACAAACTGGAACATTTTGATTTTCCAATAATGACAGAATCACAGTTCTAAGAAACTTTCTTCAGTAAAGCAGAGAAAAAGAAGATTGTAGGGTGCCCTTAAAGAGTCTTAGGTTTTTATGGGAGTACAGATGGATTCATGACCAAATAACAACATGGCTCCAAGAAGCAATTATGAGAACAGTGGAAAACACCTTGTAACACAAAACAGATTTGTGGCTGTACACATATCAAAATGTCAGTTCACAACTTTTTTCCATACGCTTCAAAGCGTTGCTATAAACCCCAATACATGAGAAGAATAAAGAACAACCAAAAGGAAATACAGTTGGTGCCTGTGCCCACAGGCTCTCAGTGAAATGTAAAATTCAAATAGAAGTATTTTGCCCTATTTTTAACACTCTTCTATGCATTTTTATTAATGTACAACAGATTATCTTGGTATGTTTGTAATCAAGATATCAACAAATATACAATCCAAATCTAGGACTGTAAGATCTTGTGCAAACAGTAATTCCTAAATAACATGCAGATTATATCCTCATAATTTGTTACAATTTTTCTTCTTTTTTATGAGATAGCAAAAGTTTTAGTAATTAAATGTTAAGAATACAATGCAGTATAATTGCTAGGTGGATGGAGGCTCTGGGGGAAGCAGCTTCATAAATCTGTAGGTCAGAGGAGAGCAGCACTTGCATTAAGAAGTGCTGACACAGTGACACTTTTGCATTAGCAGGCTGGATTTACAGCATCTTAGTCAGAAGATTAGTACTCGAAGCGTTGCCTCACCTCTTTTGATATGTGCAGCACAGATACACCAGCAAGTCTCTAAACAATAACGTAAAATCTGTTCAGGTGAATTGTGACTTGACTGCTGTAGGCTAAAGCGGCGCTTTTCCTGTACACACTCTATTTTTCATCTCTCGTCTGTGCACTCACTCTCGAGATTTGGAGTTTTGTAGCTATTTTTATTTTCAAAATCTACCATCATCAGTGACTATAAAGTTTACATTTGTACATTTATAGAAACCAGCACCATTTTATTTGAATTTAAGCATTTTTCTTAAAGCATACTTTAAAATTTTATCTACAAAAAAGTTATTGAACACTTCCATGGTTATGGAATGCTTATATAAAGTATTAGGGATGTAACGATTACCGGTTTGACGATAAATCATGATACAATTCCCCACGGTTAGTATTACCATTTCATCTTTTAATTATCATTAAAACCGTATTAGATTACCGCGGTTTGAACAACTCGCGATAAATAAATACTGTCCAGCATAAAGCACAGTTTTAAGTAACAGTGTCACGTGCGCACAGCATGCAGAGTAGTTTCGTTTTGAGTGAAAACAGGGCGGAAAAGCTGGGAGGTTTTAAAAGAGTGCTAAGGGAATTATACAAATGAATATATGAATTAATTAATTATATGAATGTACCTCTGAAGGTTCTGACTGTCTTCAGAAACGATTCGATGGCGTTTTGTTTTCATCTTCGCTCCATGTAATACCTAAAGGAAGTGTTCTTAATCGCAATACTGCTTTGTCCAAAGGTTACGGGAAACAGCTCTAATTCAGCTTTTCCATAAGCGCCACCTGCTGTCAGAG